TATAATACTTCTTTAAATGTCGAATCCACCAGTATAAAACGGCGTAATGTCTTGTGTTGGACCCAATTCTTTCAATTTTCACCTAATTTAATTACCTCTGTATTCACTTTTTAGCGCACTTAATGTTTCTTGCATATATATATGGATTGAGTAAAGATAACATCAAATTCATAGTGAAAATTTCTAGTTAGTTAACATTTTTTATTTGTTAAGACATGATAATGTCACTTGTATGTACGATTTTCTTGTTTCTCTTAAACGTTTCCTCTGCGTATGCGTTTCCCAAACCTCCAAACGCAAGACAACAACTATCAACAACACCAAATTCAACAGCTTCTTGCTCAGCAACTGGAAATCCAATCGACGATTGCTGGAGATGCGACGAGAATTGGAAGAACAACCGCAGAAACCTTGCGGATTGCGCGGTTGGATTCGGACGCGACGCAGTAGGCGGTAGGGCCGGCGATTTCTACACCGTAACCGATTCAGGAGACGACAATCCTCTAAACCCTGCTCCAGGTACACTACGTCACGCCGCAACACAAGACCAACCTCTATGGATCATATTCGATCGTGACATGGTAATAAGACTAAAACAAGATCTTCAAGTGACCTCTTACAAAACAATAGATGGTAGAGGAAATAACGTGCAAATAGCTTATGGACCGTGTCTAACGTTATATAAAGTAAGTAATGTAATTATAAACAATCTTTATATCCACGACTGTGTTCCGGCGAAACGGAACGGATTATCGTCGTTGGGAGGATATTCCGATGGAGATGGGATATCGATATTCGAGTCACGAAATATTTGGATAGATCATTGTACGTTAGAGAAATGTTACGATGGGCTTATTGATGCGGTGAATGGATCGACGGATATAACGATATCGAATAATTACATGTTGAATCATAATGAAGTCATGCTTTTGGGTCATAGTGATGAGTTTTCTGGTGATCGGGATATGAGAGTTACCATCGCTTTTAACTATTTTGGTCAAGGACTTGTCCAGAGAATGCCGAGGTATGTATCAATTTATTTATTTTTACGTTAATATCAAAAAAATTTTAATAATAATTATGTCAAATTGATAGTGTTATATATGGGATGTGTAGGTGCAGGCATGGATATTTTCACATAGTGAATAACATTTATAGAGAATGGAAAATGTATGCTATTGGCGGAAGTGCTAATCCAACCATCTTAAGTCAAGGGAATGTTTTCATTGCTTCGGATAGTCAGTTCACAAAGGAGGTACGTAAATGACATATGGTCCACAATAATAAGAGCCTTTTATAAGCTAGCAATTTATATAAACCATTTAATTCGTAAATCGACAAAATTTTGATTAGAAATTCAAGTATATATTTGCTTTGATTATCCAATCTACAAGGTCATTGTCTGTCTGATTAGACTATAGACAATTAGACATGCAACTAAATTGACATTTGTGATCAACACCAAACTTAAAACCAGTATTCTAAAACGCGTTAGGCGCTTACTAGGCGGCAGAGGAGAGCCTAGCGCCTAACCGTATACGCGGGAGTATAAGCGGGACCTAGACGGATAATTAATTTTCTAGAAAAAAAAAAAAAATATATATATATATATATATATACGTATAAAGATGGATATATATATACAATGAATAAAACATGAACATATTTTATATTTATATATATTTAGAAATTAGAAACCTCAAATATTAAATGTAATAAATTCTTATAGAATAGAACATGTAATGTTAAATATACATATTAAAAAGAAATTAAAAGTCTTCTACAATATATAAAAATGTAAAAGATATATGTAGTTTCTAAACTTAATTTCAAAATGAATTTAACTAATAGATTGGATCTTTAGAGGTTAAAAATAAATATTGATTATGATAAACAACTTTATTTTACAATANAATTAAAAACGTGATTTTTTTGTTTAGTTTTCATATAGCCGCCTAATATCCGTCTAGGCCGCGTAATCGTCCGCCTAGACCGCATAACCGTCCGCCTAAACCACATAAACATCCGCATTTTCAATAAACGCATAAATCACCGAATAGCCTAAAATCGGGGCGCCCGACATCCGCGTAACGCCTGGACACCGTCTAGACCGCATTTTAGAACACTGTTTAAAACTAAGCCGAACTCATAAACCACTCCAAAATGAGTTTGGTTTTCAATAAGTTATTTTTTGTGTTTTTTTACCAATTGGATTAGAGTCAAGACCGAAATTAGTGTAAACTCTTACTTGTAAAATTCACAAACTCTATATATGCGCAGGTTACAAAGCGA